TTATATGTATATATTCAATATTATACGAAATAATTAAAATTTACCAACTAATTAAAAAATAGTGGCTTACAAAGAAATAATTTATGAACGCATCATTTATTTTTAAAGCAAAAGCATCGTAATATAATTATTATCTATTTAAAAAGCAAATAAATATAGCAAATAGGTGTAAAAACGGTTATGGAATTTTAAGAGATGGATTATCCGATTGAATTCAAAAAACATTTTGCTTGAGTAAATGGTGCGCAAAAAATGCATTTACAGAAAATTTAGTAATTTTAATAATTAAAAAAAAATCGAAACTTTCAAAAAAAAAAGTTTCCAAAAATTCAAATTTTCGACATTTTTCATAATTTTGAAAAATTAAAAATTAATTGTTTTTTCACAAAAATGTGAGAAATTTTGTAAATTAAAAAAAAATGACTCTTGTAAACGTACACATAAGTTGTTTATAAAATATGCTCATCACCCAATGTGTTCTCGAATGTTTAATTACGGTACGGGAAGTTCCAGAATTTGCCTTGAGGCACTATGCCATACACCACTAGTTTAATTTTCAGTGTGGAAATATCAAACATATCAATTACGAAAAATTTTTTGCATAAGGTTCGAAAGTTTTATTCAAATTTCTAACTGATTGGTCGCTTGGAGTCGAATTTATAATAACTGCTTAGAATTCTTTTTTCATATAAATTGCACATCAAATGGAGGACAAAATTATTACAATATTTATCGAACTCAATACTATGAGTAGGTAAGTCGAGACTTTTCTAAAAACTGTTTTCTTTGTATTATCAGCACAAATTAAATCATTCAAATAGGTTTATCTATATTTAGACCTAAAAAATGTATTCACATAAACGAGCCTAACGTGGTAGTCCACTATCGACTTTGCAATCACAAGGGTCTGAGTTCTAATCCGCGTTGCGGTCACTCATATATGATATTGTAGTAATATCAAATTTCATTTGAGAATATAGATTAAAATATGTTTCAAATTCAAATTACACTTTGCGATACTGTAGTGTAAAACAGAAAATCTCTCACACTGTACTTACTTGAATCGAGTTAAGGTTTATCTTACAAGGGAAACCTCAGGTTTACTCTTCTGGGATTTTGATGAAACTTCGCACAGTGATAGAGTTGATAATCAAACCGAATCCCTTAAAATATTATAGTCCTATGAGAAGTGGTTTAACTATAAAGAGAATACTTATTAGAGTAATCATACATGCATGCACATAGGGTTTATACAAAAACGACATTTCAGAAAACCGGTTTTCGAATTTTAATTTCACTAAGAAACCGGTTTTACCCGGTTTTCGAATTTTATATAAAAAATAAATTTTTGCTCGAATATTTAGAGCAGTATTTGGCTGAATTTATTTATTGTTCAATTTTATAGATAGGAAACAAAATGAAATAGTTTATCTTGATCAAATAACTTTGAAAATAATTATTCGTCATTTATGCATAATTTTCACATATAATAATGAAAATATTTTCATGATAGTGAAAGGAAAGTTTTCGAATAAATAAAAATAATAGATTAATAAATAACCAAAATTCATTAAATTAAAAAATAAATAAAAAAATATTAGATACATGTTGATGCATACTTTTTAATATCAATTTTAGTTTTAAAAACATTTAAGCTAAACTCTGATATTATCTGTTCCGAGCAATTTTAATTTATTAATTTTAAACATTCTAATTGTTTTTTGTTTAATAAAATATTATTTAAAAAAACTGAGAACGTCTATCGAATTGCACTTAGACGTGTCCTTTGTCTACTCACAAAATTTCCTGAAATAGAAAATACTCTCATACTTGCGACCAAATTATGCTTTATTGTTTTTAAAGTCTGATATAATAATTCTAAGTTTTTTGTTATTTAATTTGTGGGTTCTAGGGTTTAAAACTCTTTTTTTTAAGTTTGAGTAGAGGAAGTTACTTCTTCCAGAAGTCACACTGATTAAATTAATATATACACTGGTATAAAAATCTAAATTAATATATACAAAACTTTTCTGGGAATTATTGCAGACTGATAAGATATCAAATGCTATTGAACCGATATGATTTCAATAATCAAAAAGCTTTCATCTATCTTTTATATTTGGCTATATTTGTCATTTTCCATTTACAGTAAAAACCGATTTTTTTCACTAAAAAACCGGTTTTCGAATTCCATAATTTTCGCCAAAAAACCGGTTTTTGAAAACCCAAACAAACCCTACACTGTACTTACTCTAAATCTATTTAGAGTTAAACTCAAAAGGAAACCTCAGGTTTACTCTTCAAGGATTTTGATGAAACTTCGCACAGTGATAGAGTTGATAATCGAACCTAATCGTTCAAAATATTATAGCCCTATGAGAGGTGGTTTAACTATAAAGAGAATAATTGTTAGAGTAATCATATATGCATTACACATCATGTGTTTTTTGTGGTTATGGCAAATAAGCAATTTGAAACGTAAAGATACAATAAAAAAAGTTTTGCAGATTTTAATAATAAAATTTACGAAAATTTAATAAATATGGATTATTTTCAGCGCCCGCGAGCTAGCGTACAAAGCGCGCTGTCACATAATGTCGGGTCCACGACATGTCTAGTGGGGCTCTCGTGGAGGCGCCGTGAACCGGAGGCCCCGTAAAAAGCTGAGACGCCGCAACGACTGGTAAGTTAATTAATAATTTGCATTTATTAACAGGTTGACTGCCGACCACTCCGATTAGTGTGTCCAGCAATTCAGCATCTCGTGAAAATTTTAACTACTTACGCCGAACACTCAGTTTTGGCTTAATTTTTGTTTGCCAATTTGAAATGAATAATAGTGAATGGAGTAATAAAATTTATTATAGATTAATTATAACATAAATAAAGGCAAATAAAACACATAGTGGCCAACGGCACCCGAGATCAAAAATATGGTCGGCGGTCAACTATATATATTTATTAGTTCGGTTCGAATGGTGAATTTGGTTTCCAACTATCAGTGGTTCGTTGACGACATTTTTAGATCCATACTTGCAATTAGTGCTAATGTCATATTCTGATAACAAATATAGAAGTTCTATTAACATACGAAAGGAAAGACAAAAACCATAAATTATTTTCTATAAGACCAGATCATAAAAAGATCGTCGATATCTTTATTGATGACTCAGATTGCTAAGTTATATTTTATCCTCTATGACTGTGACTTGTATAAAACACCGATTCAATGGTATTAATTAACGTATTTGTTGCAAGTTCTTATTACAATAAATGATATGTCACTAAGTTCTACTTGAGCAGAAATTATATTTATATTAAATTTTATTAATTATTTACGTTACCACACTGACTTTAGTTTCTAAAGTGAAAAATAAATTTGATTCAACCAAGTGCGACCCACACCTCGCGGTAGCCGCTTTCCGGTAAAAAAGCTCAATGCCATGAAGATCGCTGTCTTTATGGTTAATATAATAATATGAAAATACATCCAAATATAAGTTTTGGTTCATAGTTATTGAAAATTTATAACTGTTTTTTCTATGTTTGTTAGAAAGTGATTCATGTATGTGGAAATACAATTTTACTATGTTTTTACATTTAGCCTTACTATGTGTTTCAACTTTCCGAAAAATAAGCTTTATATTTTCGCAAGAAAATGCCATTTGCTGACTTTGCTTTTTCGACGTTCCAAGTTAATTTGAACCATATGAAACCAAATTTGGAAAAAGTATGCGTATAATATGTGTGCATGTATTAGTCATAATTTGACTATTTGAGGGCATCGCAAAAAGTGCATAATTTTGTCCACGTTTTCGTAAAAATTCTCAATTGATTCTAAAATTCAAAAACTATCAGAGAGATATTATTTGGTAATCGTGCTGAGTATTTAGCAAAATCGGTCGGGTCGTTTCTTGGTAACTGATTGTAAAAAAAATGTTTTGCCAATTCCAATGAAACTCTGTATGGCAATAGAGTTCCTGGTTCTAATGAACGTACTAAAATATTAAAGACCACTTTTAATTGTAAAAATTAATTAAAGTCTGGAATAACCGGCTACGTTTTTTGAAAATACTCTGTGTATATTTTATGCGCGTGTTCGTTTTCCAATAATGTGTAACTATTTATTGAAAATAACTAACATGCTTGAAAAATTTACTCATAATTGAATAATATGCAGTTGTTTCTCACATTATTATGCTGGCGGTATGCTTATAAATCACTCATAATTTAGTATTTTGATTTCTAATTGATTAAGTCAATTATTTAAACTTGTTAATGCAACTTACCTTAAGGAAAAATGCTACTTACACCTAGTTTTATTTAGGGTACTAAGTAGAATAAATTTTAACTTATTTTTATTGCTTTATAAAACTATGTAATTTATATATTGAAGATATATCTTGAAAATTTTGACGCTTTGGCTTTGTATTCTGGTCTAGAGTTATAAATTTTTCGCGATTTTTAAAAGACAGCAAAAACAAAGCAAACAATATTTTGACAATATTTCTTTTTACAAGTTATTAATTAATGTTTTGAAAATATATAAAAAAATGAAAATTTAAAATAGTCAAAGTTTTAATCCTAGAAGTTGATATAATGGGGGGCCTCAAAAAATTGGCATCTCACAATTCCCATGATTTTGGCTCTTCAAATAATTAAAAGAAAAAAAATTGTATATTTTATTAATGTAGAATAATGTCGCCATTATATATATTAGCCAAGTTAAAATATTGTTTTTAACATGAAGAAACAAAAATTACAACTTTTTTTGAATTTCTCGAATTTTTAAAAAATGGTTAAATCGGAAATTGGGTGGATGAGCGAGGTTCATATTGATGATAGGTCTATAAAGAAAAGTTTGTAAAAAATTCAGGTAAATCGGTTCAGTATAAGTTGAAAAATCGTGGGTATCGTATCGAAAGACAGTTTCAAGGAAAACGCATTTAAAATTTTGCGGAGGGATGAAACACAGTAGGATCATTACGGTCAAAAAGCTATATCTCAATAAATAATATAAATTTCGAAAAATTTAAAAAAATAGTCTTGTACAGAAGTTCCTGAATAGTTAAACTTTAATAATATCCGAAAAAAACTAAATCTCTTTTTTTTTTAAATTCTAGACCATTAAGGGGGGAGGGGGATTATTTTGATATAACATGGGTTTTTCAGTTATAAATATTTGTTATGACGTAATGTAGTGCATACATGAGTATACATTTTCTACCTGTTTGAACTTTTATATATTGCCATAAAGTTCGAATATATTGTTTTAAATAGCTGCATATTGTCTATCTGGTTATTGTAACCGCCAAAGCTCCGAGTTTAACCGTAAATAGTCCGTTTGAGTATTATTAAACTCTATTTTGACTTCCTCCGTTATATTCGTCATAATGCTATACTTATGTACACGTATAGCGAGATACTGGGTCGTACATAAATGGCTTTATGACATATATACTACATTTCATCGGAGACACTTCGGTAAAATGGTTACATTATAGCCCTAGATATATTGCTTATGATGTAGATACCTATTTCTTGCGGGCGACCATGTATAATACACACGGGTACAATACACATATATGTACACATATATTTATATGTATTTCTATAAACATGCATATTTATATAAATATGCATTTCTACATATATGTATATATAGTAAAGTCCCTTTAAAACAATCATGCTTAATACGTTCGCGGACAGTAAAAGTTTCTGCGAGCTACACAAATTGGCACTAATTTTATTTATAAATTGGTTGTGATATCCCAATTTTGATTAAACATAAGGTGACCATATTTTTTATAAGTCAAAACCGGGAAGTAAATTTTTAGTGATACTAATCTGCTAATTAACATTATTGAATTTTTTTTATACATTTATTAACAGCAATCAAAAATTACAAATTTCTATAAGCTATTGAGCAAAAATTATACAAATAAACATACATTACATAAAATTATATACACATATACATCTATACAAACACAAACAAATATACAAACATGAAATATTATGTGAAACAGTTTTATAGTATTCGAATCTCTCTAGCGAGAAATTTACAAATAATTGCTAAAATTAACTTGGATATAATTTAAAAAAAAAACAAAAATAAATACTATTTAAGGATAGAATAAAAAACGTTTTTTTAACTTCCCGTAGGGCAAGTTATAGTAATCGCAAAAAAATCGAAAATGAAATTTTTTATATATCTTTACGTTTCAGAGGTTTCTGAACATTTTGGCATACCTTAGAAAAAATGGATGTATGTGTGTGTGTGTGTGTGTGTGTATGTGTGTGTGTATGTGTGTGTATGTGTGTGTGTATGTGTGTGTGTATGTGTGTGTATGTATGTACGTGTGTGTATGTATGTGCGGATACAAATTTTCGTCGACGATTTCGGGAACACCGATCAACCGATCTGAATAATTCAAAAAACATTCGATTTGTATTGATAAGGAGACGTGCTGATTAGTTTTTGGCGAAGGCAGGTCTAGCCGTTCCGAAGATACGGGGCAAAAAGTGCCGAAAACGGTAACTCAGTTTTTAAGAGAACGGAGCGTCCGATTTGAAAAATTCAAAAAATATTTTACTTGTATTGACAAGATGTAGATTTGATCAAATTTTCATGAAGGCAGGTCTAGCGGTTTCGGAGATCTAATAAAAAAAGTAAAAAAAAATGCCATTCGGCGGTTAAAAATGATCATTAGACATATGCACATCAAATTATCAGATATTTTATAGAGATTTTAACAAAAATTTATAATTTTTTTTACATTTCTATGGGTTCCGTACCAATGCTTATGCGTTAGACGGCGGCGCGGCACTTGCGAGCTTTGACATTTCGTCTCTATGCAGTTCAAGCAGTGCGATTGCTTTGAAAAAAAGTTCAGAATTTCCAAAATATGTCAAAATGAAGAAAACATTTTTTTCAAAAAATTTTATTGTTTTAAAAAAAAAAATTTTTTTCTCAAAAAAAAAATTTTTTTTTTCAAATAAAAATTTTTTTTTTTAAAAAAAGTAATTTTTTGTCAAATTTATAGTTTCTCAAAAATCTATTTTTTTCGAAGTAAATTTTTTTCAAAAATGTTATTCGTTTTTGAAAAAATAATAATTTTTGGTACGGGAAGTTCCAGCAATTTGCCTTAAGGCACGATGCCCTAATTGCCTTAAGACAGAATTCCACTTACAGCTAGTTAATGAATTAATTTGTTTTGTTACGGGCTTCTAGTAAAAACTTTACTGTTCGATTATATGCTATATATACTCTTGTTTTACCTACGATATCATCTTATATTTTTTGATCAATGTATTTTTTTGCTTTCGAGTCATGCATACAATTCTGTTAATTTTTTTTCATAATTAACTTGAAAAATTACTTGTGCCAGGTTGTCCAAAAAGTTGGCTTTCATAATTTTGAAAAATTAAAAATTTTGAAAAGTTAGAGTTTATTAATGTGAGAGGCCGTTTTATCTCGCATTTGGAAATTTGTATTGAGTAATTTTCTCAAATTCATAATTTTGAAAAAGTGTTTTAATTTTATTATTAAGTAATCGCAAACATTTAATTTAAACCTATAATTTTCCAAAACCCGGGACAATCCGGGACAAAAAATCTAAATTCCGGACAAATATTGTTTTTAGAAAAAAACCGGGACATAAAGTGAAAATCGAGACATAT